AGCTGCACTGTGACACATGCAGGTAAGTTTTAGTGAAATTGATGATCCAACCCGAACATTCAAACAGATGATAGATGATGTGACAGGCCTACTGTTTGTCATCACAACCTGCACTGTTTATCTCTCTGGTGAACGTTTCAGGTTTGCTCGGTGGAGAGAAACAGCAGAAGTCTGATTATCCACTGAAGCTCTCTGCGGTCACACTGATTAGAGACATGAGGCCTCTGAATTTGGTCTCAACCATTTTTATCAAGTTATTTCTGTTGTGAGTGTTGTTTTGATGTGTACTTTGGGGTTGCTTGTTGTGAATTACAAGGACAGATTTTAGATTTTTTGGGGGGGCTACGATATTTTTGACTTTAATTAATTATAGCTCAGAGGCTGACTGGATTCAGACAAGGAATAGTGTTGTTTTCATGGTAGGAGTTGATGTGAGAATGAGAATAAGTGTGAAGAGGACACTGGTTCTAACTAACAAAGGGCCTTTTTGAAACGGTCTTACTGCCTGACGAAATATACAAGCCATTTAGTAAAATGCTTTGCTTTTGCCTTAAGAGTGATAACCATTAACTGCTTAGCTCATACTACGAAATAACAATTTTAAGGGAAAAAAATATGTTTTGTTAATCATGCTGTTTTGATTTTCTTTATTAAATCCTATATCATTGTATCTCTTGAAGTTTCTCTGTGTTTGAAGAGCTCTAACTGGGCTTGTCTGTGCAAGCACACTGACATATTCACACATATTCAGAGTAAACGGAAGATATCGGGCAACTGTTTCTAGGAAAGGGAAGCTGGGGGCCACACTCTTGAAAACTAGAAACCGTAAGGCAAACAGGACGTGCGTCCTATACGACACATGCATGTTTTTTGTTTGCATGAGGGGAAATGAGGAGGTGTGAAAGAGAGGGGAAGGTAAAGAGTTTATTTTCTTACAGTTTTTTTCAATTGCTAACAAGCATCGGTCAATACTGAAGCCACTTTATCAAAGCGCTTCATACTGTCTGCATTACCAACATGCATCTTGGCCAAAACAGTAAATCTCACCTCCAAAACTCACTCAAACCACCAAAGCACTTCATACATGGCTCAAAATAAACTCATTCAACCAAACACTGGCAACAATACTCACTCAGAAAGCATACATTGTCAATCATAACACACTGACCTAGTAACCACCAACATCAGGGAGCATTACACATAAATTATGCATTTCTATCTTTGAAGTTTGAAAGAATATAATCAGCATTTCATTATTCTTTCATTTCATTTATTCTTGTTACATATATTTTAGTACAGTCAATAGAATTAAAACATGTTATTTTTCTATATTTTTGTGTTTGATTTTCATTTGTGTGAATCATTTGAAATGTATAAGAGGAGAAAATTCTCATTTGTCTTGCTTTAAACCTACAATATCTGGTCCTTTTGCACTGGAAAATTAGTAAAAATTACACAATATGTTCTAGGATTTTACTTGATTTTTTAAAATTAATTTGTGACTAGAGAAAGTGGTGTGGGCAGGAAGAGTACGCTACCCATAAAATTTATGGTGGCCCGTAGGTTTCAGGCCTAATACAAAAGCCACAACACAACAAACACAAATCCCAGAACACGAATACAAACGCCACAACACGATTACAAAATCCACAACACAAATTCAAAAACTACAACAGAAATACAAACGCCACAACACAATTACAAAAGCCACAACACGAACACAAAAGCCACAACACAAATTCAAAAACTACAACAGAAATACAAACGCCACAACACGATTAGAAAAGCCACAACATGAATACAAAACGCCACAACGGAAGTGAACCACAACGGAAGTTGACAATGAAAGAGACGCTTAGTAACAGTGGATTACTCTCCACAGAACGCAGCTACACAGTAGTACAGCGGCAGTGTAGCCGTCCCACATTCAGGAGGTCTGGGTTCAGACTGTAGAAAGAACATTCTTCTTCAGGTGACTTTTTCAGTGCTCCCCCACCGCCGCGCAGCGAACAACCAAAACGCCCAAATGCCACGCAATCATCAACACCAATGCACAAGTGACGAGCCCAACGAGGCGACACCCAATGCCCAGCAGCCCCTTGCAAATCCCGCGTGTGAGGTTGGGCAAACGAGAGAGAGCAAGCGGAATAACACGACAGCGAAAGCCAGCGGAGAGAAACACCAGCAGCAAGTCCCAGCCCGGCAGCAAACGCGCCACACAGGTCACCGTGCACCCACCAATAAAAGTCAGCCGGAAAAAACTAAGGCCACCGGCGCCGGCCAACATCCCCCATGACCAACCCCCGCCGGGCGGCCGTGCAACCCCAGCCAAATCAGCAACGAGGCAAAATCAACCAGCTCAGCTGCATGCCACCACCAACCCACCCACCCGTCAAGGGCACAAGCCCAGAAAAAAACGGAGCACAGCCCTGCCCCGCACCCACACTGCACATCCCGAAAACTAACTATATACCTCAGTATCCAGAGGGGTCCAACAACTGGCCGACAGAGAAATGGGGAAGCATGGATCCGAGGCAGACGAAGCAAAACAGGGACGCAAACTGGTCCCTCCAAGCCAACGAGGAAATGCCTCCCCTGGACTCCAATGCACAAACTAAATGCTCAGCAGCCATTCAGAGACCCTGCCCAGGGAAAAAGCACAATGCATCAAGATGCATCGACAATCGGCCTACAATCCCACCGCAGCCCTCCAAACCGCAACCGGATCAACCCGCGCAGAGACCCCCACCCCCAGAAGCCAGGGCACCCCGCGACCCCCCAAAGTGCAAAGGACCCCAGACCGCATGTCCCGGGGGAAGCTGTACCCTGCCCCAAGGAAGAACAGCAGAAATGAATGCCCCCACTGTGAGAGCTGGCAGGGGGAAGCAGTGGGAGACCCAGCAGTGGGAGACCCAGACCCAGAGGCTCCAAAGCCCCAAGCCCCAGACCCCCACACCCCCGAGGCAGGTCAGTGCAGCCCCAACCCAAAGTCCAACAATCCCCCGTTCCCACACAATCAGGAGCACTCCGAGCACCACCAGGCCATCTGAGCTGGCACAACCCCCCCCCCCCCCCCTACAATGGAGCAGGTCCAGAGCAGCAAGGACCCCGTCCAAGGACAGAACGGCCCAACAGCCCAGACCCGAAGGTCCGCCCACACCCAGGAGTCACTCAGGCCAGAAGACCCCCACCCCCGCGCCATTCCCTCCCTAGCAGCAAAGCATCCCACACACGCACCCCCACCGTCCCCAAAGAAAAGAGACACCAATCACCCCGCGACAGCAGCAAAAGCCCCTCAGCCCTAGGGAGTCAGCAGATGCATTCAGCCCCTATGACTCAACACGACCACAATCCAGAGGGCCGCGACACGATTGCAAAGCAACCATCGACACACCCCAAAGCACAATCCCCTCCCCACACAGGATCCCCACACAACCACCAAGCATCTAGTCCGGGCACTAAAATCCAGAGGAGACACCCCCCAACCAGCTCAAAAAGGACCAGCCCGCACCCCCAACCCACCCCGTCAACCCCTTCTTCCCGGTCCCCCACCCCTCCAACAACCAGTCGCCAGACCCCTCAGAGAACCGAAATACAATTATCAGGATGCACAGCATGCACACAGGACAGAGCCGCACACCAGCCCAGTCCAGGCCCGCACCTGATGCCCGCAACCCCTGACAAGCTCGCAAGCCAATCACGACCTACAGGTGAGCCAACCAACACTACCCCGCTACCAATCTAACTAGCGGCACCCAACAGCCAAGTAATGCGCTGCACAGGAGAGATGCCAGCCGTCGCAAACCGCCCCCATCCCCCCCCGCAGCCAGGGAGACCACAGACCCCCACCCACGGCTACACCATGACCCACACTGCACGTTCACAACCAGACCGAAACCCACCACAAGCATCCCCACCGCACCACCGCCCCCTGCCAACACCACACCATCAACCAACATTCAAAAAAAACAAAAACGAGTCCCCCATGCCCGCACCGCGATGAATCCAAGAATCAACCCACCCCCAGACACACCTACCAGCCGCACGAGACCCTGACCAGCAAGGCAGTACACACCCACCCCCATTAAGTGATAAAGTTGATCAAGGGGAACCAGAAAGATTGGAATTGTGTCAATTTGTTTGTTTTTATAGCAGACATTTTCTCCATGCTAATGTGATCTATAAGGTGATTCCGATATTGGGTGATACTTATATTCTTTTTGGCCTTCCAGTTCATAAGTTTTCTTGGCGATGCATAAGGTAGTGAGAAGCATGTATGATGTGTCAACCTCTATACTAATGTCACTTAGGTCCCCCGGCACGCAGAGTGATGGGGAAACTGGGACGGGGTAACTTAGCCATATCGATAGGTCTTCACATATCTTCTGCCAGAACTTTTGAACAGGTGTACATTGCTACATAGCATGCATGTAACTATCAGATATGTTACCTGAGCAGTTCCGGCAGATGTTTGACTGCAGAAGACCCATTCTGAACATCCTTTGTCCAGTATAGTGTGTTATATGGAGAGTTTTATTCTGGATAAGTTGTAGATCATTCTAAAGGTATTTAAACATATCTGCATCCAAAAGTTTTGGTCTGGACTAATGGATAGATCTGTCTGCCACTTTAAGAATGGGAGACAGATTGAACTGATCTGTTTTTAACAGTAACATGTATACTTTTGATAACAGTTTTGGAGGTGAGAGTTTAAGAAAGTCTGTTATCATTGGAGGTAAATCTAAGTCCATTATTTTATCTTTAAATCTAGCCTGAATTATGGATTTAAACTGTTGAAATTCCAGAAATCTATTATGGTGAATTCCATATTTTGCCACTAGATCCTGGAATGGAATAAAGTTACTGCCTTGCATTACATGCTCTAGATGTCTTATCCCTTTGTCATTAATTTAATTTGTCAGGAATTTAGTGTTTTCTTATTTTGCAGGATGCCAGGATTATTCCAGATTGGGGTAAATCTGCATGGGATAGGTGAAGATATTTTGAGAAGTTCCCACCAAGCTGCCAAGGAAGTTCTTATATTAATGCTTTTAAAGCAGGTATGACGTTTGATGCTGGAACTAATGAATGGCATATCGGAAATTTTAATTTCCTTATAGAATGTTTGTTCTATGTCCATCCATGAGTGGTCCAGGGGGCTCTGATTGATCCATTTTGAGATATATTGTAGTCTATTGGACAGGAAGTAATGATAAAAATTTGGCAGTTCTTAACAACCACAGTCTTTTGCTTTTTGTATTGTTTTTAAACTGATTTGTGGGGGTTTATTTTTCCACAAAGATTTTGAGATGTTTGAGTCCAGTGATTTAAACCAGACAGCAGAGGGTTTGGTGGGTAACATTGAAAACAGGTAATTGATTTTAGGTAGGACCATCATTTTTATGGTGGAGACTCTTCCCATGAGTTATATAGGTAATGATGTCCACCGTACAAGGTCATCCTCTATTGATTTAAGTAAAGGCGTGTAGTTTAGCCATGTCAGTTCTGACAGCCTGGAGGAAATATTGACACCCAGATATTTAATTGAATTGTTGTGATCTGTGCTGCTGTCTTGGCCAGGACTCCCTTGAAAAAGAGATTAGTAATCTCAATGGGATTTTCCTGGTTAAATAAAGTTTTAAATAAAAAAAAATAATAATATTCCCAGACTTTAGCGGTGTGGTAGATATACTCTGGAAATCACACTTTACAGGTAAAACTATGGATTTACTCCAGTTAATGGAGTAGTCTGAGATGGATGAGAATGTATCTATAAGTGTGATAGTCTCAGAAAGAGAAGTTTGTGAGTTTAGGAGGAAAAGTAATACATCATCTGCATAAAGGCTTATCTTGTGGTGTATATTTTCTGTTTGAATTCCTTTAATATTATTATTTTGTCTGATAGCAGCTGCTAGTGGTGCTATAAAAATAGCAAATAGCGAGTGAGACAGTGGGCAACCCTGCCTGGTACCCCTCTGGAGACTAAAGCATGGAGAAGTATGATCATTTGTTTTGACGTGGACGAAATGTAATTGGAAAAAGGGCCACAGTTGATGTGCCAGGACAGAGAGGGGCAAACATTACCATGTGTGCAGCAATTGCAAATGCAGGATTACTCCTTCACAGATGTCAGGTTGGACCCTATGATACTGAGCGCATCCTTGCCTTTCTCAATGATCTCCACCAGCGCCTGGTTCCAGAGCAGGATCGGGAGGGTGAAAACATGAGGACCTTTGTAATTACCTGGGACAATGTGGCTTTCCATCATGCGCAAGCAATAACAACATGGTTTGAAGTTCACGCAAGACTGGTAAGTCTCTTCCTTCCACCCTATTCATCTTTCCTCTACCCCATAGAGGAGTTCTTTTCAGCATGGACGTGGAAGGTTTATGACCATCAGCCACATGACCAGATGTCCCTCCTTGAAGCCATGGATGCTGGCTGCAGGGACATCACAGTTCAGGATTGTCAAGGGTGGATCCGACATACCAAGCGGTTTTATCCCAGGTGCATTGCCTTGGATAATATCAGATGTGATGTTTTTTTTTTTTTTTTTTAGTTCCCCCAATTTTTATCTGGACTTTTTGCTGTTGTTTTTTTGTTCAGAATGGTCTTGTGTGTTTCACGGATATTTTGTTCACTGTAAGAAATACTGTAAAACTTTTTCTGTTCTATCATACCGTGTTTCTACTGTACCTCCTGTAGTAAACAGTAAAGGAAAAAAAAAAAAAACGGATTTGCTTTTTACTGGAATGCTTTTGAATGTGAACATTACTGTGGACATACAGTTACCAACCAAGAAATTTAGTGTAAAAACGGTGGATTGCATGTTTTGCATGCAAATACCTGTAAAACTGAAACATAAAAGTCTATGTAGTTTTTGTAATGTCAACAATAGCCAGTATTTTGAAACCTGGTGTACTTTGATTGACTGCATGTACTTTGTGAAGTGAAAACAAGTGTCATTCTTTGACAGAATAATTTAATTTTGAGTCAGATTTCCAGTGTTTTGGTAAAGATAGTGTGTGCAGAGAAAAATGTGTTATATTTTGAAATGAAGAGTTAGTATATATTTAACAAAATGTGTTTTTGAGAAGAAAATTATCCATTTGGCCAATTGTGTTTTGTAGGTGTGAGTCTGTGTTAAGAGTTTAGAAAAAGTATCTGAAGTATGGGTAAGCGCTTGTTAGCGACAGAAAAAAACTGTAATTCACACAAATATGCCGCTGTATATTATTTGACCAGAACAAAGTATTACTTATTTATCAAATGTTTAAGAAGTTCTTCTTCCATGTAGGCCTACATTTACTAATTTGGCAGACACTATTATACGGAAAAAGTCCCCTGAAGAAGAATGTTCTTTCTACAATTCGAACCCAGACCACATGAATGTGGGACGGCTACACTGCCGCTATACTACTGTGTAGCTGTCTTCCGTGGAGAGTGATCCACTGTTACTAAGCGTCTCGTTCGTTTTGTTGTGGTTCACTTCCGTTGTGGCCCACTTCCGTTGAAGCCTTTTGTATTTGTGTTGTGGCTTTTTGTGTTTGTGTTGTGGCGTTTGTATTTGTGTTGTGGCTTTTTTGTTCGTGTTGTGGATTTTGTAATCGTGTTGTGGCTTTAGTGTTCGTGTTGTGGCGTTTGTATTCGTGTTGTGGGGTTTGTGTTTGTGTTGTGGCTTTTGTATTAGGCCTGAAACCTAGGGGCCACCGTAGCTGTTGGTAGAAAAAGCAATTCAAAACAGAACATTCAGAACAGGAGGAAACCTGAGGTTTTTGCTCACAGTGATTTCCTATAAATGCTTTAACCAAATTTTTTAAACTTTGGCCATGTTTAACATGAACATCCAACATTATAACATTGTAGATAAGATAAAATGTGGAAAAGCATAATAGGTCTCTTTAAGTTTGTATTTGACATAATATCTTATTATCAGAGCTGCCAACTCTCACGCAATTGACACTTTTCACACGCCCTCACGCTATACATCAATTTTCTCACGCATTGGAAAAACTAATGTAGCCTATAACTAATTGCGTCGACTCGGCACGATTACACTCGACCCAGCTGATGCAACACCGCTGGACGCTGTGACAGGAATCAAACGAATTCGCTCTTGCACAGTGAGTGGCAGACAGTTTGTGATCGCATAAAGTAGCTGGTAGAGTTTTGCAATATAAAAATATATAATCTAAAGCACAGCCTTGCTCTGTTGGTAATGTGAGCTGCACAAAGCTGCTGAAGTTAACGTGAGGATTTGTGGGGAAGTGTTTTCAGTTTCATTTTGCACAGGTCTCATCCGTAAACGGGTCTGTCTGTCTGGGATTCTATCATGTCAGCAGAGCAAGTAATGAACAGCAGATTATACGGTGTGGAAATATATTGTGATTAAATGAGGACGTTATTCTAATAAAATATTTTATTGAGATGTCAGATTACACAGATGTGGGATAGATGCAAAAAGTTTTGAAGATTCAGTCCAGGAGTTTCTAACTAAATTAAAATTAATTAATTTATCCTTGAGGTGAAAAGGTGCCACATTTAAAGAGGAACTTTCCCAAACAAAAACACAAAGGGGAGGGAGGAGTAAATCATGAAAGAAAAAGAAATCCAGAATGCTTGAAAGCTTACTAAATTAAATTCTGGTATATTTTATATTTTAATTGTCACCTGATAAGATAAGATATGACTTCATTAATCCCCCGTAGGGGAAATTTTCAGTCGACATAGCAGCACAAAGGAATATAAAGGAACAGATGCAGTATTATAGCATAATCAACATACTATTTACACTACTACTTACTACTTACTATATACAATCAATAATAATTATTTACAACCAGATAAATGTCTAAAATTCAGTGCTGCATGAGTATTGTGTTTCCGTTGACATTGCCAAGATAAAAACATTTCCACCATAAATTGATGCAGAAAAAATCACCAGAATGCAGAACATTAAGTGTTTAATGATAAATATTTGCTGGGGGAGGCTTTTCCTCTACACATATATGTGGCTGTTGAACTTTTAAAACAAAAGCCCTGAGTGATGACTCCGACCCCTGCGGTGGGATATGACACAGAATGCATAAAATGAACCGACCTCCAATACCGAATCTCACTCCAAACTAAATTGACAAGTCGGCAGCCTTGTATTATCTCAATTAAAAGTACAGAAACACATGTATATGTGACACAAAAGGCAATTTATTACTTTGGCCGGTAAAAAATATGGTTGGCCGGTAGATTTTTTTCACCTACCAGCCACCGTGGCAGGTTAGCCAAAGGGGACCTATTATGCTTTTTCATATTTTGTAGCATTTGTTTGACAATGTCAGACGTTTATGACCGAAGTTTCAAATGATGAGGTAAAAGTCCTCAGATATCCCCCTGTTCCAAATGCTCTGTTTTGAACTGTTTTTCTACAGCTTGTTTCAGACAGATGCTGAGTCACAGAACTACAAAATAGGGCTGGAAATGCAGTATAATAGGACCCCTTTAATTTCCACCCCTGCAGTGTACTCACTATTGCACAAACCCAAAACAGACAAACTTATGCAAATATAATGGAAACCGTTAACTCTGAAGAGGAACTAAGCTTAAGGCATATACTTCAAGCCACAGTAATGAAAAAGGAACTGATATGAGTGGTGATAAACCTCAGGACCTTTAAAGCAGACCTATATGTAGCCTTATGTTCCATTTTCTACTTTCAGTGGCACTCTGCTAACACAAACACCTGCTTTTGCTATTAATCCCAAACGAGTAACAACACATGAAGAACATTAAAACGGTCATTATAATTACCTCACCTAAAGGCAGAACAATAAATGAGAAAAAGACAACAAAACAAGCACACAACACAGCTTATCAACTCTCTGAATGCGCAGGCTGATGAATGGGGGGTGGGGAAAATAATGGCGATAAAAAACTAAATGCAGCATAAACAAAATTCAGATCTCAACAAGATGCACAGTAAATAAGTTGGGACCACGTCACTGTTTTACAAGTCACAAGTAAATCTCAAGTCTTTGCACTTAAGTTTCAAGTCGAGGCCGTTCAAGACAGGCAAGTCCAAGTCAAGTCTCAAGGCAAGACCAACAACTCCCATGTCAAGTCCTAATCTTTGAGTATTGAGTCGTAAACAGGTCATAATGTGCTCTTCACCAAATTTAATATAATTTCATAAAAAGTAAATAATTTTCTAAACTTAAGATTCTAATTAATCTTTCAACTTAAATCTCACCACTGCTCACTCTTAATCATGCTTTATCATTCAACTTAACCCTCCTGCTCAGACTGCTCACTTCTACAATCAACCTCTTCTGGCCTCCTGGTTCTGACAGAGTCCTGGTGCCACAGCATCACAGCTTTTCTGGGATAAAAATTTTTTATACAGCCAATGGATCAACCTCCTGAATCTCTGGGGAGGACAGCAGTACCATAAGAAGATCTGACAGTCTATCAGTCACTGACTGGACCACAAACTTTATGTTTTTATGTTCTTCATTTTCTCGTTTTGTTGTTTTGCGGGTGTTAATTTCAATCCCTGTTACACTGCTGTAGATACCAGCAAGAAGAATTTCCACACATAAACAGTTTTACTGAAAAAACAAAAACTATGCCTTCCTAATTGCAACATTAATGCAAATTTCTTTAATAAGGGTTGATTTCACTATATATAGGAAAAATGTTAAATGTTATCAAGTACGCTGTGATGAATTTAACTCCTTTTAAGTTCTCACTCGACTTGGAGTTCTGCAACCTATCATATTATATACTTCAAACAACATGTCAAAGGGCAAACACATAACCGTGGCCATACACTGGACTTGGTTTTTACCCTGGGTGTCAGCATTTCTTCTATGGAATTAGTGGACATGACCATATCTGACCGCAGATGTATTGTTTTTAGCTGCGATTCGCCTGTCACTCACGCCGCCTCACCAAGCTCCGTGTGTTCTCGCTTCTTTAATGAACAAAGTGTTTCAAAGTTTTGCACATTCTTTCAGAGCAAAGCCAACACCTGTCTGATTCCAACACCAAGAATCTGGTTGATCACTTCAATCATATCTGCTTGTCGTCACTAAATATTACTGCTCCTCTAAAGGTTAGGCCTACATCTGAAGCTAGTAAGCAACCCTGGATAAATGACAGCATTCGCAGCCTAAAAAGGGAATGCAGGAAAGCAGAGCGCAGATGGAAAAAATCCGATCTCCAAGTCCATTACCTCAGTCTGAAGGATTTATTAATTAACTACAATAACATGGTTAAGGATGCGAGAACACACTATTTTTCTGAACTCATTACTACACATAAACACAATCCCAGGTTTCTGTTTAAGACTGTGGATCAGCTGGTAAACCCAACCCCTCCTTGTGCCTCAGCAGGAAGTAATGATGACTGAATTGTTTTTATCTTATTTTACCAATAAGGTGGTGTCAATCGGAGCCTCTATTACCCCCCCAAGCCTCTTACTCAAGAGGTTCCTCACCAGCAACAAGAGAGTTTTAACCAGTTTTATCCCATCGACTTGTCTGAGCTTTTAAAAACAGTATCACAAATGTGAGTGTCCTCCAGCTCACTTGATGTAATGCCTACAAAGTTTTTACTGAAACTAATGGATTCTGTCGGGGCCCCATTTGATCTCTGTTTGTAACAGCTCCCTATCTACTGGTTGTGTCCCTGATTATTTTAAAACGGCTTGCGTGAACCCACTTTTAAAGAAACCTG